ACAGTGGTACGCGTGTTTATCGCAGTACGTGTGTTTACAGTGGTACGCGTGTTTACCGCGGTACGTGTGTTTACCGCGGTACGTGTGTTTATCGCAGTACGTGTGTGTTTACAGAGGTACGCGTGTTTACCGCGGTACGTGTGTTTACCGCGGTACGTGTGTTTATCGCAGTACGTGTGTGTTTACAGAGATACGTGTGTGACTACGCAGTACGTGTGTTTACAGTGGTACGCGTGTTTATCGCAGTACGTGTGTTTACAGTGGTACGCGTGTTTATCGCAGTACGTGTGTGTTTACAGAGGTACGTGTGTGATGACGCAGTACGTGCGTTTACAGTGGTACGCGTGTTTATCGCAGTACGTGCGTTTACAGTGGTACGCGTGTGATGACGCAGTACGTGCGTTTACAGTGGTACGCGTGTTTATCGCAGTACGTGCGTTTACAGTGGTACGCGTGTTTATCGCAGTACGTGCGTTTACAGTGGTACGCGTGTGATGACGCAGTACGTGCGTTTACAGTGGTACGCGTGTTTATCGCAGTACGTGCGTTTACAGTGGTACGCGTGTTTATCGCAGTACGTGCGTTTACAGTGGTACGTGTGTGATGACGCAGTACGTGCGTTTACAGTGGTACGCGTGTTTATCGCAGTACGTGCGTTTACAGTGGTACGTGTGTGATGACGCAGTACGTGCGTTTACAGTGGTACGCGTGTGATGACGCAGTACGTGCGTTTACAGTGGTACGCGTGTTTATCGCAGTACGTGCGTTTACAGTGGTACGCGTGTGATGACGCAGTACGTGCGTTTACAGTGGTACGCAGGGCTCCAGACTAACTTTTTGCCTTGGTTGCACTGGTGCGCCTAACTTTTTTATTTAGGTGCACCAGCACAAAATTTAGGTGCACTCAAATTTTTCCTCGTCTCGCGTCGCCTTTAACGCTACAATTTCAAGGTCACCTTTTTATCACGCTCCATATATTCATATATATTATGTAAATGCTTTTAAACAAGAATAAGGTGTAGTTTTTTTATTTGAAGCACAATTATACTGTATATAAAAATATAAATCTTTAAAAAAAAATTAAAGTGCTGTTTTTACATTGTTCAAGTTAGGGCAGGGTATTGACACAAATTTCACAATTCGATTCAATATTGATTATTTTGGATATCAGGTACAATACATGGCAAATTTTCTCAAGAAAAACAAATCTCAACTAATGCTGTAAACTGGGAGTCAGTTGTAGCCCACTATGCTTCATTAGCCTACTATAATATTGAAGGTAAAAATTACCTGATTTGTACACAAACACCTAAATTACACATTTTTTTTTTTTTTTTTTATAATAATAAAGTTATATGAAATATAAACATTTAAATGGTGGCTGCATAAAAACATAACAACATGCAGTAAATATTGAAAAACATAAAAAATTATAATGAATATGTAATATGGTCCATATATTAGGCACAATGCTCCTCTAGAGTTAATTTTTCTAGCTAGCTAACGAGTTTATGGGCACTGGATATGTTTTTTTCTGAGGTAAATGTGACGTTACATGACATTGTTTACAAGCGTTTTACTGACGTCTTTCCACGGTTGAAACACTGATTGAGCGATTCCATGTGAAAGATACGGATTTCGATAAGTTGTACTCTATCTTTTAACACACTTTCAGATGCTCGTTCATGTTTATTTCGCGCTGTAACTGGTATTATTAAGGCGGAAGAGAAGATCATGCTTCTCTTGAGCAGAGCCAGAGCGATCTCACGCCACAGCGTCAATACACTATTATATTTATATTTTTGAATTTCGTAAGAAAATGGACCTAATTTGAAATCTCAGACTTTGTTTCATATCAATAGTAACAAAGCACAAAGATTATTGCGATTTATTGGATGGGATGCTAGCTACAATGTTCCATTCATTCATCAACTGAAAACAGCATAGCCCAACGGTTCGTAAAAATCAACGAGAATCGATTAAAATCGAGAAATCAATATTTTTTTTACCTAGTTCAAGTAGCCTACATTTTTAAAAGTTTCTTCGTCGTCTGTTTTCCTGCGTTTATTTAGCTGATGCTGCTGATTGCCGTAACTGATTCTCTGGTGCTCAGGTGACAGGTCGCAATTTATTTCAATCAGAGGCAAAGACCCGCCCAATCTCTATCTCTGATTGGTTTAGACCACGATATGATCCAACCATGCGTGCAAGGAGAACAAAATACTCGTTTGTGGAGAGGCAGCGGATGCGATCATGCGAGAACGTTAGGTGCACTGGTGCGACCTAGGAAAAATTCTTGTCACAACCTTACAAATTTTGGTCGCATGTGCGACCAAAATGGTCGCACTCTAGAGCCCTGGTACGTGTGTGTTTACAGCGGTACGTGTGTGTTTACAGCGGTACGTGTGTGTTTACAGCGGTACGTGTGTGTTTACAGCGGTACGTGTGTGTTTACAGCGGTACGTGTATGATTACGCAGTACGTGTGTTTACAGTGGTACGTGTGTGTTTACCGCGGTACGTGTGTGATTACGCAGTACGTCTGTTTACAGTGGTACGTGTGTGTTTACCGCGGTACGTGTGTGATTACGCAGTACGTGTGTGTTTACAGCGGTACGTGTATGATTACGCAGTACGTCTGTTTACAGTGTTACGCGTGTTTACCGCGGTACGTGTGTGATTACGCAGTACGTCTGTTTACAGTGGTACGTGTGTGTTTACCGCGGTACGTGTGTGATTACGCAGTACGTCTGTTTACAGTGGTACGTGTGTGTTTACCGCGGTACGTGTGTGATTACGCAGTACGTGTGTGTTTACAGCGGTACGTGTATGATTACGCAGTATGTGTGTTTACAGCGGTACGTGTATGATTACGCAGTACGTGTGTTTACAGCGGTACGTGTATGATTACGCAGTACGTGTGTTTACAGTGGTACGCGTGTTTACCGCAGTACGTGTGTCTACCGCAGTACGTGTGTCTACCGCGGTACGTGTGTGTTTACAGCGGTACGTGTGTGTTTACAGCGGTACGTGTGTGTTTACCGCGGTACGTGTGTGTTTACGCAGTACGTGTGTGTTTACGCAGTACGTGTGTGTTTACGCAGTACGTGTGTTTACAGTGGTACGCGTGTTTACCGCAGTACGTGTGTCTACCGCGGTACGTGTGTTTACAGTGGTACGCGTGTTTACCGCAGTACGTGTGTCTACCGCGGTACGTGTGTTTACAGCGGTACGTGTGTGTTTACAGCGGTACGTGTGTGTTTACAGCGGTACGTGTGTGATTACGCAGTACGTGTGTGTTTACGCAGTACGTGTGTTTACAGTGGTACGCGTGTTTACCGCAGTACGTGTGTCTACCGCGGTACGTGTGTTTACAGCGGTACGTGTGTGTTTACAGCGGTACGTGTGTGTTTACAGCGGTACGTGTGTGTTTACAGCGGTACGTGTGTGTTTACAGCGGTACGTGTGTGATTACGCAGTACGTGTGTGTTTACGCAGTACGTGTGTTTACAGTGGTACGCGTGTTTACCGCAGTACGTGTGTTTACCGTGGTACGTGTGTGTTTACAGAGGTACGTGTGTGATTACGCAGTACATGTGATTACGCAGTACGTGTGTTAACAGTGGTACGCGTGTTTACCGCAGTACGTGTGTCTACCGCGGTACGTGTATGATTACGCAGTACGTGTGATTACGCAGTACGTGTGTGTTTACAGTGTTACGCGTGTTTACCGCGGTACGTGTGTGATTACGCAGTACGTCTGTTTACAGTGGTACGTGTGTGTTTACCGCGGTACATGTGTTTACCGCGGTACGTGTGTGTTTACCGCGGTACGTGTGTGATTACGCAGTACGTCTGTTTACAGTGTTACGCGTGTTTACCGCGGTACGTGTGTGATTACGCAGTACGTCTGTTTACAGTGGTACGTGTGTGTTTACCGCGGTACGTGTGTGATTACGCAGTACGTGTGTTTACCGCGGTACGTGTGTGTTTACCGCAGTACGTGTGTGTTTACCGCGGTACGTGTGTGTTTACCGCGGTACGTGTGTGTTTACCGCGGTACGTGTGTGTTTACCGCGGTACGTGTGTGTTTACCGCGGTACGTGTGTGTTTACCGCGGTACGTGTATGATTACGCAGTACGTGTGTTTACCGCGGTACGTGTGTGTTTACAGAGGTACGTGTGTGACTACGCAGTACGTGTGTTTACAGTGGTACGCGTGTTTACCGCAGTACGTGTCTACCGCAGTACGTGTGTTTACAGCGGTACGTGTGTGATTACGCAGTACGTGTGTGTTTACAGAGGTACGTGTGTGTTTACAGTGGTACGTGTGTTTACCGCGGTATGTGTATGATTACGCAGTACGTGTGTTTACCGCGGTACGTGTGTGTTTATCGCAGTACGTGTATGATTACGCAGTACGTGTGTTTACCGCGGTACGTGTGTGTTTACAGAGGTACGTGTGTGACTACGCAGTACGTGTGTTTACAGTGGTACGCGTGTTTACCGCAGTACGTGTCTACCGCAGTACGTGTGTTTACAGCGGTACGTGTGTGATTACGCAGTACGTGTGTGTTTACAGAGGTACGTGTGTGTTTACAGTGGTACGTGTGTGTTTACCGCGGTATGTGTATGATTACGCAGTACGTGTGTTTACCGCGGTACGTGTGTGTTTACAGAGGTACGTGTGTGACTACGCAGTACGTGTGTTTACAGTGGTACGTGTGTTTACCGCAGTACGTGTGTGTTTACAGTGGTACGTGTGTTTACCGCGGTACGTGTATGTTTACAGTGGTACGTGTGTGTTTACCGTGGTACGTGTGTGTTTACAGCGGTACGTGTGTTTACCGCAGTACGTGTGTGTTTACCGCAAGTACGTGTGTGTTTACAGCGGTACTTGTTTGTTTACCGCAGCAGGTGTGTGTTTACCACGGTGTGTGTGTGCGTGTGAGTTTACCACAGCAGGTGTGTGAGTTTACCACGGTGTGTGTGTGTGTGAGTTTACCGCGGTGCGTGTCCGCTGCGCTGCGCCTCCCTCTTCAGCAGCTCCAGCCTCTGATTGGTGCAGAAGCAGTAGTAGGCGTGGCCTGTGTGCAGCAGTGATGATGTGGCCTGTGAGTAGAGATGGAGCCGCTCAGACTGAACATACGGCCCATAATGCCCTCCTCTGCGACTGCTCTCATCTGGGGGGATTCCTACACACATACACAAACACCGACTTAGACTTAGGTGTGCACGATATATCGACTCAATATCGTTATCGCGATATCACATTGCCCGATATCCTGGTGCAGTGAGGATTATAGTGTGTGCAGTGAGGAGTATAGTGAGTGCAGTGAGGAGTATAGTGAGTGCAGTGAGGAGTATAGTGAGTGCAGTATAGTGAGTGCAGTTGAGGAGTATAGTGAGTGCAGTGAGGAGTATAGTGAGTGCAGTGAGGAGTATAGTGAGTGCAGTGAGGAGTATAGTGAGTGCAGTGAGGAGTATAGTGAGTGCAGTGAGGAGTTTAGTGAGTGCAGTGAGGAGTTTAGTGAGTGCAGTGAGGAGTTTAGTGCGTGCAGTGAGGAGTATAGTGCGTGCAGTGAGGAGTATAGTGCGTGCAGTGAGGAGTATAGTGCGTGCAGTGAGCAGTATAGTGAGTGCAGTGAGGAGTATAGTGCGTGCAGTGAGCAGTATAGTGAGTGCAGTGAGGAGTATAGTGAGTGCAGTGAGCAGTATAGTGAGTGCAGTGAGGAGTATAGTGCGTGCAGTGAGGAGTATAGTGCGTGCAGTGAGGATTATAGTGCGTGCAGTGAGGATTATAGTGCGTGCAGTGAGGAGTATAGTGCGTGCAGTGAGGAGTATAGTGAGTGCAGTGAGGAGTATGGTGAGTGCAGTGAGCAGTATGGTGAGTGCAGTGAGGAGTATAGTGAGTGCAGTGAGGAGTATAGTGAGTGCAGTGAGGAGTATGGTGAGTGCAGTGAGGAGTATAGTGAATGCAGTGAGGAGTATAGTGAGTGCAGTGAGGAGTATAGTGAGTGCAGTGAGGAGTATAGTGAGTGCAGTGAGGAGTTTAGTGAGTGCAGTGAGCAGTATAGTGAGTGCAGTGAGGAGTATAGTGAGTGCAGTGAGGAGTATAGTGAGTGCAGTGAGGAGTATAGTGAGTGCAGTGAGTAATATAGTGAGTGCAGTGAGGAGTATAGTGAGTGCAGTGAGGAGTATAGTGAGTGCAGTGAGGAGTATAGTGAGTGCAGTGAGGAGTTTAGTGAGTGCAGTGAGGAGTTTAGTGAGTGCAGTGAGGAGTTTAGTGAGTGCAGTGAGGAGTATAGTGAGTGCAGTGAGGAGTATAGTGAGGAGTATAGTGAGTGCAGTGAGGAGTATAGGGAGTGCAGTGAGGAGTTTAGTGAGTGCAGTGAGGAGTTTAGTGAGTGCAGTGAGGAGTTTAGTGAGTGCAGTGAGCAGTATTGTGAGTGCAGTGAGGAGTATAGTGAGTGCAGTGAGTATATTGAGTGCAGTGAGTATATTGAGTGCAGTGAGGAGTATAGTGAGTGCAGTGAGGAGTTTAGTGAGTGCAGTGAGCAGTATAGTGAGTGCAGTGAAGAGTATAGTGAGTGCAGTGAGGAGTTTAGTGAGTGCAGTGAGCAGTATAGTGAGTGCAGTGAGGAGTATAGTGAGTGCAGTGAGGAGTATATTGAGTGCAGTGAGGAGTTTAGTGATTGCAGTGAGGAGTATAGTGAGTGCAGTGAGGAGTATAGTGAGTGCAGTGAGGAGTTTAGTGAGTGCAGTGAGGAGTATAGTGAGTGCAGTGAGGAGTTTAGTGAGTGCAGTGAGCAGTTTAGTGAGTGCAGTGAGGAGTATAGTGCGTGCAGTGAGCAGTATAGTGAGTGCAGTGAGGAGTATAGTGAGTGCAGTGAGGAGTATAGTGAGTGCAGTGAGGAGTATAGTGAGTGCAGTGAGGAGTATAGTGCGTGCAGTGAGCAGTATAGTGAGTGCAGTGAGCAGTTTAGTGAGTGCAGTGAGGAGTATAGTGCGTGCAGTGAGCAGTATAGTGAGTGCAGTGAGGAGTATAGTGAGTGCAGTGAGGAGTATAGTGAGTGCAGTGAGGAGTATAGTGAGTGCAGTGAGGAGTATAGTGCGTGCAGTGAGCAGTATAGTGAGTGCAGTGAGCAGTATAGTGAGTGCAGTGAGGAGTTTAGTGATTGCAGTGAGGAGTATAGTGAGTGCAGTGAGGAGTATAGTGAGTGCAGTGAGGAGTTTAGTGAGTGCAGTGAGGAGTATAGTGAGTGCAGTGAGGAGTTTAGTGAGTGCAGTGAGCAGTTTAGTGAGTGCAGTGAGGAGTATAGTGCGTGCAGTGAGCAGTATAGTGAGTGCAGTGAGGAGTTTAGTGAGTGCAGTGAGGAGTATATTGAGTGCAGTGAGGAGTTTAGTGAGTGCAGTGAGCAGTATAGTGAGTGCAGTGAGTAGTATAGTGAGTGCAGTGAGGAGTTTAGTGAGTGCAGTGAGCAGTATAGTGAGTATACCTGCCCACTCCAGCATGTCCTCGATGGCGTCCGCGGCTCCGGGCACCAGGCGATCGCGATCCGTGTCCTCGAGGCGCAGGATGAACGTGCCGCGCCGCTGCTTCGCAAACAGGTAATTATACAGAGCCGTGCGGAGACCCCCGAGGTGAAGAAACCCTGAAGAAGAGTTAAACAGGCTTCAACAACAGGTTTATCTCACTCTATCACAGTCTCTCAAACCCTGAACAATAACAGGCTTCAACAACAGCACTGCAAGTCTATCTCACTCTATCACAGTCTATCTCACTTTATCACAGTCTCTCAGCCTGTCCGTGTTTATTCTCCTCTATCTGTGTTCATATATGATATTTGTGGTGTGTTTCACCTGTGGGACTGGGAGCGAATCTCACGCGCACCTCGGGCTGTCTCGTGCACGCACCTCTGCGCGCGCCGGGCTGTCTCGTGCACGCGCCTCTGCGCGCGCCGCTTCTCCTCCAGAACACGCAGAACATGTTTACATCCAGAACACGCAGAACATGTTTACAAGTTTCTCTCAGTCAAACAGCGGAGAAAGCGCGTGACCCCATCCATCACTCTGTTCTTCTTCTACTTCTTCTTCTTCTTCCTTGGTGTTTCAAGGCAGTTGGCATCCAAAAAGTTGCATTACTGCCACCTGCTGTCTATTAGCTTGTCACCTTATTCGTCTTTCCAGTCCAGTCCTCCTTAAAAAAATAAAAAAAATATTTCCTCTTTTGTTCACTATTTCCGCATTCTAATACTTTTTACATTATACCGTTATAAAAACTCTTTTGTTCCAACTGCGATTAAATTTTTAAATAGAGATTTTTTTATATAATTGATGTAGTATGCTTTTAGTTTTTTATATAATTCATTGAAATGTGTTATTGCTTATTGTTGCATGTTATTGTATGTATTGTGTTGTGTGTGATTGATGTTGTGCACTGGCCGTGTCTTTTTTGCCAATTTATCAACTTTCTCATGTGCGCTGGTATCCACATGTAATACTTTTCCCTTGTCTGGATAATCTTGTATTTATAAACAAGATTTCATATAATATTTATTGATGGTTACTAGCTTTTCCAGACTTAATACTCAGAGCCGATACAGAGTCACGAATGTTGATATCCCTGCCCTGGACTGTGCAGTCTATTCTAATGCAGTAAGATCGTGTGTGCGTGTGTGTGTGTGTGTGTGTGTGTGTGTGTGTGTGTGTGTGTGTGTGTATGTCTAATGCAGTATAGCACATAATTCCACTGCGTAAACATAATCTGTCAGATGATCTTTATCTCGTTATATTACTGCATCTGTTAGTAAGTCTTGAATCCGTCGCTCTGCTCAGCTTCTTCTTCAGTTTAATGTGTGTGTGTGTGTGTGCGTGTGCGTGTGTGTGTGCGCGTGCGCGCGTGTGCGTATCTGAGCATCTGTGACTCCCTGTGCTCACTGTAAAGCTGCTATAAAACAGTGTGCATTGTAAACGAAGATGTCTTAACTCTTTCTCATTCACTCTGTTCTCTATATTACTAAAGTGCGACGATCATCACATTCACTACACTTAAATAATACTGTTTCTAAAACATCACACACCATCTTCATGCTTCCCCATTATTGCAAGTGTCGAATTTATGAGCTGGTTATAAATTTTTTTCTCCAAAAATCACCAGCTTTCTCACTGTCGTTTTCTGCATGACTTTAGTTTGCATTGATCCATTATTATATCCATCCTCGGTATCATTCACACAAACCAGGGAAACACGTCTATATTATCTGCCCTATAGGCAAGGCAAGGCAAGGCAAGTTTATTTATATAGCACATTTCATACACAATGCTAATTCAAAGTGCTTTACATAGGAGAAAATAAAATAATCAAAACAAATAAGAATAATTAAAACAGTTTAGAATAAAGAATAAAATAAAGTACAGTAAAAACAGTCGGACAGTGGCACAGTGCTCATTCAGTAAATGCATAGCTAAACAGAAGTGTTTTGAGTCTGGATTTGAATGTGACTACTGTAGGAGCACATCTGATCTCTTCTGGAAGCTGGTTCCAGCTGCGGCTGGCATAATAGCTAAAAGCAGACTCTCCATGCTTAGAGTGAACCCTTGGTATTTCTAGCTGATGTGATCCTAATGATCTGAGTGCTCTGTTGGGTTTATATTCAGTGAGCATATCTGCAATATATCCTAACCCATTGAAAGATTTATATACCAGTAATAATACTTTAAAATCAATCCTAAATGTAACTGGGAGCCAGTGTAAAGACCTGAGGACTGGTGTGATGTGTTCATATGTTCTGGTTCTGCTCTGCGTTCTGTATGAGCTGCAACTGTCTGATAGTCTTTTTAGGAAGGCCAGTGAGGAGTCCATTACAATAATCCACCCTGCTGGTGATGAAAGCATGCACAAGTTTCTCTAAGTCTTGACTGGAAACAAAGCATCTAATTCTTGCAATATTTTTCAAATGATAGTATGCTGATTTAGTTATTGCTTTGACATGACTACTGAAACTAAGGTCTGACTCTAGAGACACACCAAGATTCCTGACTTGATTTTTTTCCTGACTTGAAACCTTTGTCTATTAAAATCCCCACAATAATAATCTTGCCCTTTATTGTGATGAAAGACATTATGAAACGATGTGCAAAGCAGCAGTTCTTCTTTCTCTTCCAAGACCTGGACGTCCTCTGCTGAAACCCTGTTATAAGGATCTATTCCACTTCGGTCATATTCAGTTGTTTTTAAATGTGCTTCATAAATAAATATTGACATAATGATGAAACTTAAAAGGAAAGTTCCTTCTGTCATCATTTACTCCCGTCATGTCGTTGTAAACCTGTATCCACTCCTTCCTTCTTTCCTGGAAAAATTGTTGCAATGTTTTTCTGTACTTGCAGTCAGTCAATGGGGTCCAAAACTGTCTTTACACACAGTGTTTAATGTGGTCAAGTGTGTGTGAACCGATGAAAGAAAGCGCATGTGAAACTGACGGATGAGTCAAAGCCTCAAATGCATCACGTCTCTATTGAAATCAGTGCTGAAAATCTCGCGTTGTGAATGTGATGAGTGATTTAAACATGATATCCCAGATAGCACAAGTCTATTTGATGTGATGTTTACATCTGGAAGACGTATTTTTAAGAGTGTTTGCTCATCTGCAATACGTCTATAGGACGTTTCCTGTCAGATGTCAAATAGACGTTTAGAAGATGTCAGTTTAACATGCATTCTAAATCATTACATCTTAAAGACATCTTCTAAACGTCTATTTGACATCTGACAGGAAACGTCCTATAGACGTATTGCAGATGAGCAAACACTCTAAAACATAAATACGTCTTCCAGATGTAAACATCACATCAAATAGACTTGTGCTATCTTTAAGTGTCTCAGAGATCGTGTTCATAGAGAGTTTATAGAGTGTTTATAGAGCTGAGGAGGAACACTTTAACACATTTAGTAAGCTTTATATTCTGATCGCTGAACACATCAGACACAGTTTGGCAGGATTGTAATGTCGTTATTCAGCCTGAGGGTGGCGCTCTCGTGAGGATTGACAGAGTTTAGTACAAACATAGAATGCCATCTTAGAATTGCCTTAATGTATTTATTGCATCCAAATGTTGTTTTTAAATGTTGTTAGTTAAGCCTAGTTCACACTACATGATTTTAAGCCAGATTTGCAAATCGTTGAGCTCGCCGACAGGTCAGGGTGTTATCGCGTGCAAATCGTGGGGATTAGCGGGCGATGAACGCTCGCCAATCTGGTAGTATGAAAGAGCCAACAACGCATCAGACGCTCGCAGACGCGTCGCCGAGCCCAGAAGAATATCTAGCATGCTAGATATCCAGAGCTGTCGCACGACTCAAGCTCACGTGATGTCACGAGCTACAGCCAATCAGAGCAAGGCATGGGTTGAGGTCACCGGGTAAATTCTTATTTTTTCTTTTTTTGCGTTTTTTCTCAGAGAAAATCATTGCGCAAACAGTTTGCAGCACTAGTTTCTGTCTGACGTCCATATTCGCGTGTTGTGTTCTTCTTCGCTGGGTATTGGCGCGCGTGCTGTCTCGCGTCATTTCCGGTTCGTTTTATCGCGTGATTTTTCGTGACAAAACGTGGTTTGCAGACAAGATAGAATCAACTCGTCAACTCGTGCAGTGCGTTACCTCCTGTTGCGGATCAATCACGTTGTGTCGTGTGGTGTGAATTAGCTCAACAACTTGAACACTCCTGATTTCACAGAGAGCTAGTCATGTAGTGTGAACCGCACAGTTCAGCCCGACGTTTTAAAAATCATGTAGTGTGAACTAGGCTTTAGGAATTCCAGTGAGGAAAACAAAGTCATGTCTATCCTCAGAACAAACATGAAACACACAACAGAACTAAAAAATATGGTTCTTTAAAGGTTCTTTACACGCATTACCAGTTTTCTTTAGAACAGTATTGTCCTGAAGAATCCTTAAATGCTGAAATGGGTCTTTGTGTTGGAGTTAGGGTTCTTTACTCCAGCGTTTGTGTTGTTCAGATCTGTCAAAGCCTCCTCATGACTGGTGTCTTGGAGCTCTACTACAGTCACTGCACAGACTGGCACACCCTTCAACAGCTACAGGAGTTCTTTCTTAAAATGTCTATAAATTATAACTTAAAAAATTGTAACAATCGTTTCCAATCATGTCTTTTTCTCTTTTTAGTTTAACAGAACATGTAAGTGTGATCAGCTCTGTTCAGTTGAAGGATACTCATCTTCTCTTCTCCACAAAGTAACAGAGATATGGAATTTATGATCCATATTGTCTGATTGGTGTCACAGGCCGGTGTGGCCAACCGACCACCAACCCTAAGGACTGAGCCACCTCGAGGAGCCAACCCGAGAAAACCCAAAAGGCAGGACACAAAGATGAAAGTATAAAAAAATTTATTTTATTAAATTAATAGCAAATGTACTAAAAGCAGATGGGCGTAACTTCTTCTCTCTTACTGACTTCCATTAGTAACTTCACATTCGCTCACCGGCTCAATGGTTCCTATAGCTCTGAACATCAGAGGGTCAGTAACAGCTCATAACTTCACATTCACTCACCGGCTCAATGGTTCCTAGATCTAGAACTCCGCGACCCATGATCTAGAACCGGGGGCCCCTGGACTACCACCGTGTCGAATTTGGGCTCGCTGCGACCTTTCGACCCCTTTTGGCCCCTGTTTGTTTGACGTCCCATGTGCAACTTATTCCATGGGGCTGTTTCAGGCCAATTAGCGCGAAAAAAGGTCAGAGGGACACGGAACTCTAGAACCCGTCCCAGGGTCCCGTGACGGGACACATATGTCAATTTCGGGCCGATCGGACCTTTCCATCAAGTCGTTTTGCTGAAACACATACTTAGAACCGATCTAGAACCCCGCGACCCATGATCTAGAACCGGGGGCCCCTGGACTACCGCCGTGTCGAATTTGGGGCCACTGCGACCTTTCGACCCCTTTCGACCCCTGTTTGTTTGACGTCCCACGTGCAACTTATTCCATAGGGCTGTTGGTGGCCAATTAGCGCGAAAAAAGGTCAGAGGAACACGGAACTCTAGAACCCGTCCCAGGGGCCCGTGACGG